ATTAGGTTTTTTGCTAACTCTTGATAAATTTGTCACGAGTAAGACCTAGTTGTGCCGATCATTTATCAGAGTACTTTAGAAGAAGTCCCTAAGACATTTTCAAAATTTTCTTCAAAATGCCTCCAATTTGTTTTCTTTAATTATTTTTCTTGAATAGAAGGTAGCTTGAATAGAAGGGGAAAATATGTTATAGTTCCGATTTTCATTAAAGTCTCTGAAATCACGAAAATAGCAAAAGTTGATATGTATTTTCGAACTTGTTCTACACCTACAATATTCAAGCAAGACATTTTTTACTCAATTCAATTTATATCTTAATTTCAGATCTTTGAATGATGTCGTGAATAGGAGGAAAGGTTTCGGTACTTCGAGCATTTTCAGTAGTTTAGTTTGATGCGAACCTTTCCCATTTATCTTCCATTCAAAGGCCCTTGAAGACTCCTCTGAGGACCCTTGGCTATCACAGATCGAACTACATGCTCTATCCGTCTTATGTAAGAGACAATTGATCATTTTTTGATGCGGAACAATCAAACGGCGTTATGTTTTCCTTGGTGATTCAGAAACAAACGAATTAGCCCCCTATTTCCATCATCATTCTACTATCCTTTCTATCGGGAGAGGTGTCTCAGAGCATCAACTGATGTCAGTACAGCGCCTCAGACCGGGAGATCCTAGGTTCGAGTCCCGACGGAGACAGGATTTTCGGCACTAGCTTGTTTGCAATTATCCGTTCACCCTAAGAAAAACATGATGTAAACAAAGTGAAGAAATCTTTGCGCCGCACTACGCTTCTGAATGGACACCTCCAAGTGCACTACTTTCGATGACGACCGTAGCATACCCCGCCAATTGAAATTGAATAAGATCTGTCATGCTCATGCAACTACTTTACTTACGATCAGTCTGCGTCAGGAAGTGGTTGTCAATGACCGAATGTCAATTATTTGTAAAAATTGGTTAGCCTGAAATTCGTATGTTCTTGATTACAATTCACAAGCTGCAACAATTTTACAAGCGTTGGTGTTTTGTTTCTGCACTTTTGGCCGTTTGATGCAAGGAATGTACTTTCGATCGAACAACACTGACTACAAAGTCATCGTACGATTCAATCACAGGTTTCTTCCCCTTTCTTTTCTTCTCTGGCGTTTGCAGTTGTCCCTTGTCAGTGAGCCCTTTCCGGAGTTAAATATTAGCTGGATACGGATATTCCAGTGAACACTGCGAATTTCTTCACCGGTAACGACGGACTTCTATGCAACAACACATTGAAAACGTTGCTATTGAAAAATGCGCTTTTCGCTACTACAAAGTAATTTTCCACACTTGTGTTTAATTATTGAAGGCCCAGACCACTTTCAAACATTCTAAAACGAACTGCTGATCGGCGGCGCGGCTCCGCGGTCCCACAAAACCGCGTCCCACGCGCCTCACCCACGCCGAACAGCACGTTCACGATCTGAACTCTCAGAAGTTTGTAATCTTATCGCAAAGCAGCACGCAGTCAGTTCACGATGGTCTCCTATCTCAAAACCGATGCAAGAGTTTTGACGCAAGGTTACTATAACGAACTATGGAGGATAAATTAGTTATTGTAGAGAGAACTTTTTACTTTAGCGTCCCTACAACAGCAGAGCTCACACTGCGAACTAATGAGATTCATCCTAACACACGTGCATTTGTTTCCATCAGGATTTTTCTTAGGGTGAACAGATAATAGGTCGAATTCAGTCGCTGTCTGATGGAGAATTATGGTGGTTGGCTGCTCTGATCGAACGTTTTCCGTAGTTTCTCCGATCAACACCAGGTGAATATCAGAGCAGAATCCTAACAAACAGAACACGGACCGCGCGCGATCATTCCTTCCTCTTCGTTTCCCTATTCTCATAACTAACACACACACACACTAACTCGCATTACACTACCACACATGCCGGAAGACCACACAGACCGGGAACTTAGAGCTTGTCTCTGCTGGGGCGATGCTCCGCTGGTGAGAGATACCTAGTTGGGGTGGTAGCCTGCTAGCCGAAGGTATGTCGGCGCCGGATCTCGCCATACAGCGGAGAAATATCACCGCCACCACCCGAGAGAGAAACGGGAATAATGACCATAGCAGTTGACGCACCTGGTATCAATAACAATCAATCCATTATCCAAGAGGGAAAGTTATAAATGCTAAAACCTTATCCCTGGTATGTGCTATGTAATGAATATGACACTCATAACATAGTGGCGTGTAGAAGGAAAGTCTCTTTTTTAAGAAAGGTGTTAATATAATGTATTATTAAAATAGTCTGTGTACTTTTATTTTCTGAAGCAATAATATTAGTAGAGTCAAAAATATTAAATTTAGAAAATAATTTATCATAGCTTTCAGCTTATTAAAATATAAATGTTGAGAAAAAAATAATACAAAATGGCTAGTTGGGCCCGTGTGAACACACATCACTTCATAAATCATTGTTTTAATAGTGAAAATATTTCCGTTTGGGATCCCAGCCTCTGATCTGTGCAGCCTTATAAGTATAACAAAATTAACTGGGAACTATGCGTCTGAAAACATACTAATATTCTTAAGCGTCAAGATCAAATTGCTCGAAATATCAAATAGTCAATATACTTTTAGGTAGATTTTGAGAATTTTGCTTGCTTATGATCACCCTTGCTATAGCGTAGGGATGTTTGGAAAAACTTACTTCCAAAAATGTTAAAGATGGTTCAAAAATCCTTAATTTTTTATACGTGTTAAGAAAAATAAATCGGGTGCTTACTGCTCCTCTCCACTTGTTTACTTTTATAATATACTCCTGTATTCTCCCCTGTTCAACGCATGTTCCTCTACTCGTTTAACTGGAAATTCATAAATGCATTTCAAGTGTTTTTGTGATGACAAAATACTTTCTTAAACCTTACAGTGTAATAGTCAGTGTAACAACTCCCCTGGCGGATGAAACTGGAAATTCAGTCGTAGTACCCTGACATGGGAACCGCCCAAAAAGTGCTAGAAGGGCACCAAAAGGGGTAATTTTGTAGAATACGGCCTAAGAAACATGACTTATGTTTTCGAAGGTCGCACCGTTTTCCAGTTATGCATGAAGGTAGCGTGTGTTGCAGGACTACGTGTTTTGCACGTTGCATTTGCTTGTGTTTAAAATCTATTTCGTTAAGGCGGTCACGATATGTTACAGTTATTTATGCACATATAGGGTTATAAATATTTTAATGATCACTCCATAAGGTAACATGTAGCATCTTTCAAGTGTTTTCATATATTCCACGTATCCATGATCCTCTAGATCCAGACTTGTTATCCAGTTGTCTATCCAGCTCCATATGGAAGCAATAAATAAAAAGCAATAACGCATGAGTAAAATTAAAATTAATTAGTTACTGTTGCACACCTGTGTGCTTATGCTTGCAGCAAATTCTCATTTATGTCATTCAGTAAAGTACTGGCAATAGGATCAAACGTTTGCATTCTCAATTTCATAACCTTTTAATGTAATTACTACATTTTGATTTTGCGAAAGATTATTCTTTTCAGATACGTACTAAGTAAACTCTCACACCTCCAACCATAAAGTAGAATCTTAATAAACCATATTAAATTACTTCAGTTCAATATAAATTATTATCAAGTCCTCTTTCATAAATTTCAATCTCTCTTTAAAAAAATCCAGAAATTTAAATGTATATATTGATAACAATTTAAATTTTAAAAAATTGTCACTTGTAAATTTTTTCTATATCATAATACAAAGAATATTTATTTAATAACTTTATTGTCATTGCAAAATGGCTGTACTTTTGTAAATTTATTGCAATGTGTGATTTCATTTTGTTTAGTTAAGTGACCTTCAGTGTAATTTAAAGAGAACTAAGAGAAGGGAGAACAAAGAGAAGTATCATATCATTTCTTTTCTAGAATGTCTTAAAGCACCCCAACAACTAAGAAAAAGAAATAACCTCTGTTTGTCATTGAGTTTTCTAGTTGAAGCAAGTTATCTACGTAGTAGTTCTCAAGGGATATCATAAAAAATAGTTCTTAACACTACTTGTCTTTAATTAATAAAGAACGAAACACAATGAGATTTGTTAGAGAAGAAATGTAATCAATGTTTATGTTTTTATTGAGAATCTTGTATCAAGTAAACATCTAAAGTTATTTTACGGAAAAAAAGAAAATTGAGACCAGTTATGACTGTGTGGTTATTGAAATAAGAGTGCAGTATATTGTTCTTATTTGTTTTCGAGTGAATTTTCCATTCAGAATTTAAATGAATAATTTTCGTTACTGAATAGTAACAAACAGAAACTACTTCACCATGTAATTTGATCACCATGATTTTCTAATGTCTTCATACCCTCAAATGCTTCTGGATTTATCTATCAAAGAACTGCTAATTGATTTTGTTCACCACAAATCATTGCCGGAACTCGAATAAACACGAGTGATCGGTCCCGTTACTTCCTGAACAGCAGGGCGCAGTGCAAGTCGCCGGGAAACGTACGGCTCCATCTGCGATCTCGTTCTCTTTTCGAAGGCCCTCTGCTCTCGATTCGTCATAGCGGGCGAGCGTCGGACACTGCGGTCTCACCTCTCGCGAGTGGCGGAGGCGGGGGGGGGCGAGCACGTGGAGGGAGGGGCAGCGGTGACCTCCGCAGTTCCAGAGGTTCCCGCAAAAATCGAGTCGTCTTTTCCTCGTGTGGTGAATTTCCCGCGGCGGCGGGCGGGGCGGGCTGCGGGGATGGTGGTTGGGCGGGGGGGGGTGTGCGGGCGGGGTGGGGCGGCGGGCGCGCGGCCAATGCGCGACGGCGGCGGCGGCGGCGGCGGGGCTTTCCGCGGCGGGCGTGTCGCAACGGCGCGCGCGTCGGAGGCGCCCGGTGGCGCGGGGGGGGCGGCGGGCGGCGGCGGGCGGCGGCACCCGGGCGCGTACTTAAGCGCGCGCCACCGCTGCCCGTCGCTTCGCTCGCCGACGCACTTTCGCCGACTCCGGCTGCTGCTAGCTGCTCCCTGCGCGGCGGTCGTCGTGCTCCACCGTGAAACGACTTGTGTGTTGCTTTTGCGAGGAAACTTCGCTAGAAGCAGCGCGCGTCGTGCACAACCCGGCTGACGACCACAACACCATCTTCCCGCGCCACTAACATTCGACCCGGCGACCGACGCCTTTTCGGTAGCAGAGTCGACGTTAGCCAGCCAGAGAGCAGACTGGAGTTCGCAGCGTTTGGCGTCTTGAGCCACAGCTACCAGCCGAGAGCGGCCCCCGTTTCCTTTGCCCGCGACAACAACTCTCAGCCAGACAACATGATGGCCGTAGCTGCTGCTCAGAAGAACCGCGAGATGTTCGCCATCAAGAAGAGCTATAGCATCGAGGTAAGCACCGCACGAGATTGTACCGTTGCACTGCGCTCGGCCGAAGCCTCTCACTTCGACGCGAGGCGCGCATTGTAAGCGCGCAGAGCCCCTTCGGCCCAAGGAATGGGAACGCGCGAACGACGGGCACTTGGCCCCTCAAGGGAGACAAACGTTTCATAAAATTTATCTCTGTGCACTGAAAAAATGTTCTGCTTATTAAAAAAGTAAAATAAAGTTAGTTGTCGGTCTGGAATTTGCTTTTATCGTACAAAAGTCTTGTCGGTTAAAATTCTATGTAAATCGCACTATTCATATAATGTTTCAAAGAAGTACCAGGATTTGTTTGCCATCTAAATTCACAAATTCGAATGCTATTGAAATCGGTGCATTACCTCAATTTTATAAAATTTCAGTCTACTTATTAGATTATAATCTGAACAAAGTTAATTGTTTTCTTTTTTGTAACGAGATTGAGAAATGTGAACTGATCGACTGACGTGCAATTAAAAAAATTAAAACCGGTCTATAAAACGGCAAAAAAGTTAAACAAAAATTGTTAAAGAAGTAAAAATTAGTTCAATCCTAAACAAACATAAAATTGCCGTACGCATAGCATGTTTCCCATTGTTTACAAAAACGAATAGTTTTTAGGAAACAAAAGTATACTACGTTTTTACCTATTTTTTATTAAATATTAGCGTTTCGACCAACTTATTCATTGAACCAACTTATTCAAATTTAATTCAAATCAATAATATTGCTTCCGGTAATCTCCCGCGACCAAAAATCTCATAAGATTGTTCTTATAACGACGCGCAATATCACAATATATAATTTTTTTTAAATTAATATTTTTGATAGACGATACCGCGAATTCTGATCTGGGACTGCCAGACGGCTTGACGACGAGGCGCGATTAGAATGCAGTAACTGTAAGCGCATGACTCGCATTCACGGTCGTTCTAGGTATTCGTTACAAAATACGGAAAAGAAACCCGATCGCGTAAGTGTAAGCCCAAGCCCGGCGTTTAAAGCGTCGTGGTCAGCCAGAGGCGCCGTGCGTTGAAGGCGTAGCCAGTACCTCTCCTGCTACCGCCTGACGGCCCCAGGCACTGCCGCCGTCCGCGCTTTTTTATCATCTGATTACAGGGGGGCCAAACTATAGAAGAACACGAACTTTGCAAAGAAATCAAAATTTAAATGTTCGATTATTATGCTAACCCGAATTGAGACAGTTGTCATGATGTCGATATATATTTTTAATTAAACAATATTTAATCATCATTAATCTTAATTGATTTCAAGTTAGTTTTTGAACAACTTGTTTTCGAAACTTTGTTTAATGGGGTTTTACGTTGTTATGCTAGTGTTTCAATATTTCGTTTCGAGTAACGTTTACGGACGAGATCTGCAAAATATTGCTTGTATTTATCATTTGAATTTTTTCATTGATCAAAATATTACTTCTTTCTCGGTGTTAAATATGCAATTCACTCACTATTAAATTATTAAACAATAATAGCTACTACTTATATTACAGTATTATGAACATTTCGTTTCTTCTAATAATGAAAGTCATCAAAATATACTTTATTGACGTTCTTATAAACATGTTTACCAAATTATATGTAATAAATATCGGTTAATTCCACTTTAAATATCTTTTCCCATACCTTAAGATAGCCATGAAATAATTTATTTGTTAATCGATTTAATAAGCAAAGAAAACTACTGTATTTAAGAATAATTATTTAGCAGTTAATCGTTTTGAGATTTTCTTCAATATTGACAAGATTTCTGGTATACATTAAATTGTTTGGTAAGAAAGTCTTTGATTAAATAAGGTCAGAAACCTGCTTTGATTATCACTGTTAAATCGACATTTTACAAAAGATTTCTGAGAACTTGATATTAATTTAAATGTAAATTTAAAAATTTTATCTGCACATACAGCATATAAACGGAATTAATCCCAACGCGTAAATATGATAACCTTAATTGTCCATTCGAATAATAAATAGTATGCAAAAATACTTATTATTCAGAACTTCATGTCCACTTTTTAAGCATACAATAGATATTTCTTTAGTTCAGTTAAGTCTGATTACCCAATAACTGTCATCCAAAGATGTACATTTTTGAAATATAATTGCAAGATACTTGTCATGTCACTACATGCTGATTCTGCCACCGAAATATCAGAATGAAGAAATCTTTATGCCAAGAGAAAGAATTGAACCATCCATTTTTGAGAGAATTAACGTCTCATTTTGTCGCATTATGGTCAGAATCCTATAGTCCTAAACGGCAGATAAAATGCTGTCCTGATTAAATTGTATCTGTTTCTTTGCCTTCCTTCAGTATTTCGAAAATGTTTCTAGATAAAAGAATTCTCAAGGAACGCTAGTCAGTAGACTTCAGCCTCAAATGAACTATGATTTCATTCATTTAATATAGTGATGGAATAAGTCTTTTTCTAGATTTTCAATTTAGAACTTTCTGGAGAGCTTTTTGTGGAATTTGCAATTTGAGATCGCCCGGCGAAATTACCCTGGAAACGCGTTGGAATGGAAAACTAGGAGAGACGTTTGAAAAACTGTGAGAGACGTTAGACTTCGGTACACTAACGTCTAATTAAAAATGTTGGCCTTCAATTTCAACAGTTTTCAATTTCAACATTTTATTTACTTTGCAATAGGATTCTGATGTTTTATTTCTTTTCTAATCGTGCTGGTCATGCCACAAGATTGACTGTGTACACTTTTTTCAATTAAGGGAAGTCCAGAAATTATCAAGCGGTAAGCATTTTACACCTAATCGCTTTTCAGCACATCATGTTCTTTCCCCATCAATTTTCTTGACTTGGGCTTTGCATTTTATTTGTATCTTCAGAGTGCAATTTTGTGTCCTGATAGGTTTTTCCAACAACCTTTTTTTGGTTCACCTTTGTTCACCTTTTGTTCACCCTTCGTTTTTGTCTCGACTAAAAAATACAACTCAAAGTTGGGTTAACGTTAGACAAAGAAATCTATTACAAATCATCGTTCTCTTTTTTTATCATTCGCTTCGATGAAATGCAAGAGATTGCGACAAGAAGTCCGCTGATGCTCGATTTAAAAAAGAGAAAGGAGCAACCTTGGTGATTGCATTCTTGGGGAAACACCCAAAGATCTTTTTCATCTATTATGAAGCTAAATTCTTGGTAAAATTTTCTTTATACAATAGAATCTTTAAGATATTTTATTTTCACTTGCAAATTGAGACGCGGTGCCTAATTAAAAAAAAGTTTCAAACAGCTATGTATTATGTCACCTTGACACGTGGGAACTCAAAAAACAGTAAGCATGAAAGTCAAGGACATTCTCAGGGGAAGAGAATGTTCTCGAAGTTGTATTACTCCGACGCCAAATATAATATTTTTCTGTTCCTGTAGTAGATCACTATCAAGGATGAGTAAAAGATCCCCGTTCTTATTATGTAATTCAAGCGAATTTGTCAGATTTCATTGCAGATTTCACAGGGTGAACTCATTATTTTCGAGGTAAATTAGAGGAAGTTACTTCAGATTTCCGTATTATATATTATTTATGGATCTTTTTAATTTAATAGAATTAATACCACTAATTATTTTTCTCTTATTATCCCAAAATTACTTATTTGAGGAAAGAGAAAGAAAAATATTTCAATTGCTAGTTCAATCGCTCTATTTTGATCTCTGATTTGTACGAACGCATATTCAGTTTAGGTGGACTCATGAACATTTAATGAATTAATAACTGAAACTTTTATGTAGCAAAATGAGGGCGTTTAGACCTATGAATTTATTCCCGTCAATGAAATCACCGCGCATGTACTTCTTATCCAACCCAGACTCTTTCACATATTTTTCGTCATTTTGTAACTGCTGACTGTACATTTGGAAAAAGCGCAAACTTTTGGAAAATAGTCAAAAATTGAGGAATATAAACCGCGAGTAATGGCCCCAAATTGTTCGATCCCGCCCATCCAAAGCGCAAACGCTGAACTTGTTCCCGGCGTGATGATGGTTCGGTCGGCGCGCCGCGGGGGCGTCGGCCGCAGTGCCCAGGGTCGACCGCCTGCTTTTTGCCGCCGCGACGCCGCCCGCCATGCAGCAACATCGCGGGCAGTTGAGCCTGCAAACCACCTCTGACCCCTCACGCGCGCCTTTTTGCTGATTGGCTTCAGACCGCGCTATATTTCACAGCCTTGTGCCTTTTTCTGTCGGTTAGACCGTCGAGTTTCTCTGTATTCGTGTATTTCCGATCAAAACATTTCAGAGCAAAAACTTCGAAAATCCATATTAGGGGACGATCTCCTACAAGAAGGTCTATAAAATTTTAAGATGGACCCTAGAACAGCCCTTGGTAACACTTTTCAATTTCTGAACGCCCCCGGTACAGATGGGGGTAAGTGTGGAAGAGGAGTAAGCGGTGTGGTCATTATGATAGTCCGCAGTCCATTCCGGCGAACGATCTCAACACTCGTTTGGCTAGTCTAATTAGGTCTGAGAGACATAATGATGGTACTGTTAGACTCCTCAGAAAAGCGATAAACCAGTCCATTTAGAATCTGAAGGACGTAGTACTTCTTGGGATATATAAACACCATTCACTTATTTATTTCACTATTCTGCAAAGTGTTTAAGGGTTAAGCAATTAATTGAAAAGTTTTACTACGACGAAAAGGAAAAAATGCCATCTCGATGGAATGTTTCTTAGTAGTTTTCTAGTTGAGAATAATAAATGTGAGTCTTCGTTGCTATGAAATGCGTCTTGCTACCGTCGAGGTATTGCAATGTCAATTGAATATTTTTGAATTTCGTATGTTAAGCATCAAGACTGGTAGGTAAAAATCACGGGCAATTTCGCTTGGTTGCTGACCGAGTAAAACACAACAAATTAATAGTAACATTATGAACATATTTTCCTTGAGATATAGTAAGGTTAATTCTGCTAGTAGTGTATAAAGCGGTTTTGTGAGTAACATGCGACGACGTG